AAGTAAACTCCAGCAAGGTATTAGGGCGCAGGTTCAAATCTTTGAGCCTGCACTCTTGCGCATCGGCCACCAGCGGGCGTCGACCGACGTACTGCCATTCGCACATCCCCCTTGGGCCGACGCATGGTGCTATTACAGACGCTGCCTGCGCACCACCCAAGGGGTTAGTCCATGGTCGTAGTATGCTGGTAGCAGCAGGCCCTGGGGGTGTTTGAGTGGTTGGCCTTGGGGTGGTCCGTAGAGTCGGCATGTGTGCATGGGTGCGTGGGTTGTGTGTGGGTTGTGTAGTGATCTCTGGGTCATGTCTCGCGTACGCACCATGGGCGGCGGAGAGGAGGTAGGTTGCGTAGACATCTTAGGTCTAGATTACCTTCTTCCCCAGAATAGAACGTACGGTCATTTTCGCTGCATCTGATCAGAAACGTGAGCCAAATACGGATCAAATGAGCGTACGTTGTATTCGGGGGAAGACGGTAGGTTAGGTAGGACTTCGTGTAGAGCTTGTGGGCCTGTCTGTGTGCACCGTCTCCAAGTCGTTCGTATGCACTGCTCTGTTGGTGTGTCATGGGGTGTGACTTGGTACCATGGTTGTTTCCCGACCTCACGGTACACCAGCGAGCGTCCATACATTGCACAACTCCGGTCCCGGTTTGGCTCCGCTCTCTACACCCCCCTTGAGTAGTGGTAGTGGTTGGGTGTTAGGCATATACGATTCCCAAGGACGGGCCTCATGTCTATCTTACTATGCTTGGGGGCTGGGCTTCGTCCGGGCTGGTACCTGTCTGCGTTCACATTGAGGGCGTTGACCGGGGCGTGAATCTGAGGAAGGGTCTCTGGGTAGAGGGTGGGTTGTCGCATTGATAGTAGGAGGGTGGTAGACACCCATAGAGTCTGCTAGATGTGGTAGACACCCATAGAGTCTGCTAGATGTGGTAGACACCCATAGAGTCTGCTAGATGTCATACAGGTGGGGAATGGCCACATATCTGTGACCCCTCCTGTATATCCGGGTCGTCCTCGAGAATTCGGGGTGTCCCTATGGTAGCGCCCGGGGGGACTCGTCTGAGACCGTCGGAAGGGCGCTAGCGCCCGGGGGGACTCGTCTGAGACCGTCGGAAGGGCGCGGGTTGGTGATCTAGGTCTAGAGACAGGTCTGGGTCGCACTACTGTAGGGCTTGACTTGCAATCTGATTAGGACAATAAACAAGGTTCGCAAATGATGCCCCCTGGAGGAGGCTGTCCTTGGGGCTGTCACAAGCCATCTGATCTCCCCACTGGGATCCCTGGGGCCCGAGCCAGGGTTGGGGTTTGACCCCCGGACACCTGGCCCGGGGATCCCCGACCCCCGCCCCTGCCCCACCCCCGCCACCCCTGCA